AACCCCCCCCTCCCGAACCCCCCCCCTCCCAGGGGGGGAGGTTCAAATCCCCCCCCCCCAATCGGCGCCAGCACGGCGCCAGCGCCGGCGCTGGCGGCGGCCAGCAGCGCCCGCGGCGGGGACGCAGCGACGATGACCAGAGGCAGATCAGGGAGGAGGGGGAAGGTTTCAAACCCCCCCTCCCCCCCCCACCTGGCGCCGAGGGGTGGGGGGTTCAAACACCCCTCCCCCCCCCCTCGCGCCGGCGCCGGCGCTGGCGGCGGCCAGCAGCGCGGGCGTTGGCGCCGGCGACGGGGAGGACGCAGCGACGATTACCACCACTACCACCACCACCACTACCACCACCACCACCGCCTCAACCCACCACCACCACCAACACCAACAGCACCACACAATCACCACCACCACCAAACCAGCCACCACCACCACCACAACCACCACCACGACTCACTATCACCACCACCACCACCACCACCACAAAAACCCACCACCACTACCACCACCACCACCACAATCTACCACACCACCACCACCACCACCAACGCCACAACCACTACCACCAGCACCGCCCACCGCCACCACCACAAACCACCACACCACCACCACCACCACCATCGCCACCACCACCACCGCCACAACAAACGTCCACAAACCACCGCCACCACCACGACCCATCACCACCACCGCAAACCACCAACACAAACCACCACCACCACAACCACCACCACGACCACAACTCACCATCACCACCACCACAAAAACCCACCTCCACTACCACCACCACCACAATCAACCACACCACCACCACCACCACCGCCACAACCACCACCACAACCACCAGCACGACTCACCACCACCACCACCACCACAAACCACCACACCACCACCACCACCACCACCGCCGCCACCACCACCACCAGCACCACCTCCACAAACCACCGCCACAACCACAACCCACCACCACCATCACAAAACACCACCACACACCCACCGAACCCACCATCACCACCACAACCCACCACCACGCAACCACCACCACATCACCACCAAACCACCACCACCACACCACCCACACACCGCCACAACCACACCACCACAAACCACCACACCGGCACCACCACCATCACCATTCCCGCCACCACCACCACCACCACAACCCACCACCACCACCACCACCACCGTCGTCCTCGTCGACGCTCCCCGCCACCGCTGCCCGCCGCCGCAGGCGCCGGCCAGCGCCGGCCCAGAAATGGAAATCGTCGTCCCCGCCGCCGTCGCCAGCCGCTGCCGACGCAAGCGCTGGCCCGAGGAGAGAAGAAGCAGGGGGGGGGGGTGAAAACCCCCCCCTCCGTCATGGGAGGGGGGGAGGGGGGGAGGGATCGAACCCCCCCCCCCTCCACCCCCCCCTCCAAGAAAGGGGGGGGGGGTCCGAACGTGCTCTTTCTAATTTTTATGTTATTTCGGGAGCGGCCAAGAGGGGGTGTCCAAGAGGGGGGGGGTGCAAATCATGACCGGCGGCATGTGCGCGGCCCAGCGGGGGGGGCCAGGGACGTAATGAAATAAGAGGACGTAATGAAATAAGGGATATCATGGCCCCCGCCATGATATCCACCCCCCCTAGTCATCACCCCCCTCTTTGCCGCCCCCGATTATAATTATATATATATACATATACATATACATATACATATACATATACATATACATATACATATACATATACATATACATATACATATACATATACATATACACATACATATATACACTCATGTACATACATATATATACATATATATATATATATATATATATATACATCGATGTGTATACATAGACAAAACAGATGAAGGTTGTTAAAAGGTTGTGGGAAGGTGCTTCCAAAGCAAAGCCCTCCTGAGTAAGGCTTTTCGCATTGTTTAGGAAGGTTATTCCAAAAAAGAATCCTTCAGAAGGCTTAAAGATTTTAGGACGGCTTATAAGTTTCCTTTAAAAGGTTTTAGGAAGGTTTTTTTTATCAGGTTGCACCAAGGTTCTTCCCAAAACCCCCCCGAGAAAGGTTGTTGCAAGGTTTTGAATATGTTTCTCCCCCCCCCCCCCAAAAAAAAAACTCCTGAGGAAGGGTTTTGGAAGGTTTTAGGACGGTTCTTCAACAACAGAAGCATGAGGAAGCTGTCCGGAAGGTTCTAAGAAGGTTATTCAAAAAAAAACTCCTGAGGAAGGTTTTTGGAAGGTCTTTGGAAGGTTCTTCTGATTGTTGCTTGAAGGTTTTAGGAAAGCTCTTCAAAAAAGCAAAACTCACAAGGAAGGTTTTCGGAAGGTGTTAGGAAGGTTCTTCCAATAAACCCTCCTGAAGAAGTTGGTGTAAAGGCTTTAGGACGCCTCTTCAAACAAGAGCCTTCCCGATCAACACTTTCGGAATGTGTTAAGAAGGTTCTTCCACAAAAACAATCATGAGGAAGGTTTTTGGAAGAGTTTAGTAGGAAGGTTTTCCAGCATAAACTTCCTGAGCAAGGTTTTCGCAAGGTTTCAGGAAAAGCTCGTCCAAAAGAACCATCCCGAGGACGGTGTTCAAAAGGTTTTAGGAAGGTTCTTCCAAATGATACCGGAGAAGAACCCCAATCATAATATGTTTCGGGCTTTAGGGCTATGGGGCTATGAGGCTATAGGGCTAGAAGGGTATGGGGCTATAGGGCTACAGGGCTACAGGGCCATAGGGCTATAGGGCTATTGGGCTATAGGGTTTATGGGGCTGTAGGGCTATAGGGCTATAGGGCTATAGGGTATAGGGCTATAAGGCTATAAGGCTATAAGGCTATTAGGGCTATAGGGCTATAAGGCTATAGGGCTATAAGGCCATATAGAGCTACCGGGCACCTGGGCACCCGGGCACCCGGGCACCCAGGCACCCGGGCACACGGGCACCCGGGCACCCGGGCACCCGGGCACCCGGGCACCTGGGCACCCAGGCACCCGGGCACCCGGGCACCCAGGCACCCGGGCACCCCGGGGCACCCCAGCACCCGGGCGTGCGGCGAAAATCGGCGGCAAACCTAACCTAACCATATGAATCCGCTAGGACCCCTACAGAGGCAAGCTCTGATTGGGGGAAAAAGCGTCCTGAGGAAGGTGAGCTTTTCCTCGGGGATCTACTGACCTGGGCCAATCCAGACCCTGGTCAGTCATGCTTTGCAGGCTCCTGCAGGATCCTGCACGCAAGCCCGGGTCAGTGCACCCCTGGCTCTGCAGGATCCTGCAAGATCTGGCGCTCTGGCTGACCTCCTTTTGCAAAGACCCCCGTCTCAATGCCCCCGACCTCTGTTGGTTTTTTCCGCGCCGGGCCCGGGGCTTCTTGGAGGGGGCGAGGGAGGGCAGCGAAGAGGGACGGGGGAGGGGCGCCTCGCGGGTGCGACGCGGCCTTCCTGTGCGCGTCAGGCCTCCACCGCCTTCGCACGGGGGAAGCGAGTCCTGAGGGAAACGGGTCCTGGACCCTGAGGCCTTCCCCCAGGACCTGGGACGCACAAGGACATGCCAGTACGGTATGTCCTCCTTGGAGGCATGCGTCCGACCCGAACATACAGCATACCCATCCTGCAGTACATCGTTTCCCGAGCGGCGTGGCCAGAAAGCGCCCGCCACGACGTATCTACCATGAGATTTCTCGGTGCGCGCGTCGCCCCTGGGGGGGCGACTCACACATGGCATTAGCATGTTGGGGTGACGCCGAGGACCGATTCCTCATCCCGAGTCGCTCTCTGACAGCCCCCAGGGCACGTGGGGGGGCCCGAGGGCCTGGAATTAAGTCGGGCCTGTCTCCCTACAGGGGGATTTTGGGCGAAGACTTAAAAATACTCCAAAAACATTCCAAAGATGCCCAAAAATACTCAAAAAATAATCCCCCGACTATGTTTTAACCATTTGTTAATATGTTTTGAATAGTTTTGATTATTTTTGACTATGTTTGATTATTTTTGATTATGTTTTGACTATTTTTGAACATTTTTGCTATTTTTTCTAACAGTCAAAATAGCCCCCCGACTATTTTTGATTATTTTTGAATATTTCCTCTGTAGAGGGACAGGCCCGACTGAAGCCTGGAAACGGCGAGGAGCCTCGGGACCCGCCTCCCTCCGGACCCGCTGGCGACCACCACCGCCACCACCAGGCCTCAAAAAGGTGGTGCGGGCGCAGCTCCCTACTCGTTGAGGGCTGCACGACCTCTGCTGTCCCTTCGACTCCTCCTCCTCCTCCTCCTCCTCCTCCTCCTCCTCCTCCTCCTCCTCCTCCTCCTCCTCTCCTCCTCTCCTCCTCCTCCTCCTCCTCCTCCTCCTCCTCCTCCTCCTCCTCCTCCTCCTCCTCTCCTCCTCCTCCTCCTCCTCCTCCTCCTCCTCCTCCTCCTCCTCCTCCTCCTCCTCCTCCTCCTCCTCCTCCTCTCGCTGGAGCGCCCACGATGTGCCCTTGGGATCAGCCTGGAGTTGCCCCGACGTACCTAGATTTGGCTGGCCTGACCCCCGCAAGGCGATCGGAGAAAGGCCGCCGAGCACTTCCTCTGAAGCCGGCGAGGCTTCGGGCTGCGCACAGCCAGCCCCCCCAGGTAGTCCCAGCTGGCCTCGACAGGCCCCCTGGGCGCCAGGTTGAGACCGCCCTGGACTACTTGGGAGATTCAACCTTGAACACTTTCGCCAAAGTCGCCTGCGCGCCATCGCCGCGTGAACCTACCGTACCTAGGGGAGCTGTCTTTGCGCAACCCGAAATCTTACTCGGGGATGGACAGACCCCCCTTTAGCAAAACGTGGTTCAATGAAAACGACCCGAGGCCAAAACCTGGCGGGCGCAAACCTGGAAAATGACGGCCACGGCGCCCTCTCGAGAACCGAAAACGGACAATTCACTAATCGACGTGTAACTGTTGGGGGTTCTGTCCACCCCCGAGCAGAGCGCCCTGGCCCAGCCCAATCTCGGCACCGAGGGGCGCTCCGGGCGGCCGCACGCGGGGGGGCCTGGCGTACAGCGCGAGCCCGGTGCTCTTCCGGAACTTCTCGATGTAAAGGACGCTGCGGCGCGGGCAGCGACGCGGACTCCTCCTCCTCCTCCTCCTCCTCCTCCTCCTCCTCCTCCTCCACCTCCTCCTCTTCCTCCTCCTCCTCTTCCTCCCCCTCCACCTGCTAAATCACCATCCATGTCAGCCTAATCATCAGTATCATCATCATCAGCATCATCATCATCATCATCATCATCATCATCATCATCATCATCATCATCATCATCATCATCATCATCATCATCATCAGCATCAGCATCAGCATCAGCATCATCATCATCATCATCATCATCATCAGAATCAGTATCATCGTAGTCATCGTCATCGTCATCATCATCATCATCATCATCATCATCATCAGCATCAGCATCAGCATCAGCATCATCATCATAATCAGTATCTTCATCATCATGAGCAGCAGCGTCATCATCGGCATCAGCGTCATCATCATCACCAACAGCACCATCATCATCAGCATCATCATCCTAACCATCATCTGCATCCTCATCCACATCCTCATCCTCATCCTCATCATCATCATCATCCTCATCATCATCACCATCATCATCATCATCATCATCATCACAGTCACCATCATCATCAGCAGCAACACCAGAATCACTATCATAATCATCATCATCATCATCAACAGCATCATCATCATCATCATCATCATCATCATCACCATCGTCATCATCATCCAAGCTCACAGGGCGATGCTGAATCCGCCGAGAGCAGTTCTGTGTCGCCAGAACCCTGGTCCGTCGAGAGACTTTCGCCTCTTCCACTATGCCACCAATTCCACAGTGCATGCCAAAACGACCAACTCGGGGGCCAGCACCACCACGGCCGCCGAGGCTTCGTGTCGGCGCTCGACTGAGGCGGAAGCTAACGCGGTGGAGGGGTATGTCCAACGACGGCTGCGGGACCACGACCTCAGCCCGCAGCTCCCCTCACACAGTCTGGCGCGACTCCTGAGCACAATCCCGCAATGCCACATATAGGCGCCCTCCCAAAGGCTCCTCGAAGCGCTGCCCACCGCGATGCGCACAAGGCTCTTCGAGGTGGCGGTGGCGCGGCCGCGTGCCTCCCATGTGATAGCGGTGAGAATAGCATGCGTGGGCGTTCAATCGTTTGCTCTGCTAATGTGAACGGAGGTTAACGACCGATGAGCCGAACCTACCGTGTAGTCCGCAGGTAGAGGACGATGTGGAGAAAAGATAGGGATCTGTTGTCCCCTCATTACACGCAGCTAACGACACGAGTTGCACGAGAACGGGCCTAATGGACGAACGGCAAGATTCATACAGTGTGCATATATGAGATCGCAGCTAAACTGCGCGCAGCTGCAGTCCGTCGTCGCTCTGCTTTTCGCTGTGAGCCGAGCCAGTTGGGCGGTACAGAGAGAGAGAGAGAGAACCGCTTCAACGACAAGCACGACCTCACGCATCATCTCCTGCGCCTCGTGGAGCACCCGTGGATCATTGGCAAGGAGCGCACTCGAAGCAGAGAAAAACGCCGAGCGCGCCGAGCATGACAGCCACCCGCGCACGAGGAGATCGTCAACTACAAATCCGACGGGGCTGTTCGGGACAAGGCCACGATGCAGACGGACTCGTCAGAAGCAGTTTCGGCGCTGCCCATCTACGCGACGGGGCGGTGGATGGGGCGCATCGTAAGACTCTGAGCGTGCCCAGTGACAGCGTGGCAGAGTACGAAAGTACGTATGCTCAGTCGTTTACGAGACGCCCTGCCCTGGCCAGACACCGCGGTCACGTTCGTTGCGGACTCCTTCCTTGCGGCACGACGCGATGCCTTTCGCCATCGCTTGTGTACCTCACTGAGAACAAGCAACGGAGGTGAAACCTACATCCGAGCAGTTACGGGCGAGGAGACAACGATTTCAGTTGTGCGATACTCATGCGAAAGGCTCTAGGTTATGAGATATGCAAGGAAGCAGGCGCGGACAAGAGAGCTTCAGGGGGCGTCTTGGGGCCATCTTGGGGGGCTGGGGCCGTCTTGGGGCAACCTTAAGACCTTCTGAGGCTGTCTTGGGGATCGCTTGGGCCGTCTGGGGGCCCCGTTAGGCCGTCGTGGGGCCATGTGCGAAACCTATTGGGGCTCTTTCGCGCCGTCTTGGGACGTTGATGGAGCTCTACGGGACCTTCTTGGGCGCCATGAAGACCGAGAGATCGGATATGCTGAATCCTCATGTTTCCACACACATACATACATACATATATATATATATATGTACATAGATATATGTATATATATGAATATATAGAAATGTGTGTATATACATACATATATATATGTGTGTGTGCATGTCTGTATGTATGCATGCATGCATGCATGTATGTATGTATATATGTATGAATGTGTGTATGCGTGTATGTATGCATGCATGCATGCATGCATGTATGTATGTATGTATGTATGTCTATATATATAAAAATATCTATTTACATATATATAGAGATATTTATATATATCCGCCGGCCCCCTTGTGGGGCCACCAGGCTGTAGGGCCAGGGTGTGATGTTCCCTGCGCCAGTTCCAATTTCCAGTTTCCACTTCATTACAATATTGCTTTATGCTGCTTACTGTTCCTTGTTGATGGACCGCGCGAGAGGAGGGGGGAGCCGCAAGCCGCAATTTTTACCACGCCCAGATCGCATGCTCTGAATTCCTGGTGGCTAAAACTCGCGTCCCCGAGGCCGTAAACCCTTGTAAATTACACTATGTTCGCGTCCCCGAGGCCATAAACCCTCGTGAGTTACGCAATATTCGCGTCCCCGAAGCCATAAATCTTTGCAGAATACGCCATATTCGTATCCCCGAAGCCATAAACCCTTGTAAATTACGCAATGCTTGCGTTCCCGAGGCCACAAACGCTCGTAAATCTCTCAATATTCGCGTTCCCGCAACCATAAGCCCTCGTAAATTACAACATGTTCGCGTCTCCGAAACCATAAACCATCAAAAATTATACAATAGTTGCGTCCCCGACGCAATAAACAATTGAAAAATAGTTAATACGGCGTCCCTGGAGCCATAAACCCTTGCAAATTACGCTAGATTCGCGTATCCGAAGCCACAAGCCTTTATAAATTATCACTATTCGCGTCTCCGAAACCATAAACCTTCGTGAATGGCGCAATAGTTGCGACCCCGAAGCCGTGAACCCTCGTAAATCACGCCATGGTCGCGTGTCCGAAGCCATAACCCCCCGTAAGTTATACCATATTCGCTATGTTTGCGACCCCGAGGCCAAAAACCAATGTAAATTACGCGCTAGTCGCGTATCCGAAGCCATAAACCCTCGTAAATTACGCTAGAGTCGCGTCTCCAAAGCCATCAACCCTTGCAAATTACGTTAAAAAATCCTGACGCTGCTTCACGGCGGCGCCAAGGCCTCACGAATTCGTTCCTGCATTGCCCACTATCCGAGAGAGGGGGCCAGCGGCAGCAGGCGAAGCCCTTACACACACACACACACACACACACACACACACACACACACACACACATATATATATATATATATATATATATATATAATATATATATATATATATGTATATATGTGTGCACACACAGATACATACATACATACATACATACATACATACATACATACATACATGCATGCATGCATACATGCATGCATACATGCATGCATGCATGCATGCATACATTCATACATACATACATACATGCATGCATGCATGCATGCATGCATGCATACATTCATACATACATACATACATACGTACATACATGCATACACTCATTCATTCATTCATTCATTCATTCATTCATTCATTCATTCATACATACATACATACATACATACATACATACATACATACATACATACAGGGGACTTGGGACCCCCCACCCGGGGACCCTCAGAATCCGTGGCCCGGGGAGCATCCGTGACGCCCCTGAGAACTGGAAGCCCCTGCTGGGCCTAGGCAACGGGCCCAAATCGGTCAGGAGGGCGGCCGAACGGCCCCGCGAAGGCCGTCGTGTCTGGTCTGGTCTCGTCTTGACCGTCTGAGAGGCGAATGCACGCCTGTTTCGTCGCTCGCGGGAAGTGGGATGGGCCCGCCCGTCAAACTAGGGGAAGACCTCCACTCTGTCTGGACGGCCCCGCTGCGAGGGGGTGGAGAGTCCAAAATTACCCTGGATGACTCCAAGATGGCCCCAAATACCCTAAGATCGCAACCTACTTGGCACAAAATATATGAAAATGGCTCGACATGGCCTCCAAGAGGTCTCCACGATGGCACGAAACGGCCCCAAATCGGCTCCAAGCAATCACGGAGCCTCTCAAGGATACACCCCAAAAGCCAACAGTATTCAAAACCAGAAACGCTGTCATAACTCAAGCCTTCTAGCCTGTTCGCTTCCGATGGGCTTCTGATGCCTCAGGATGACTCCGAAGTCGCAAGAGAGAGCCTCCACAGACACTGTCTAAAAGCATCGTAGGAAGCAGCGCTGCGTTTCTTGACCAGCGGGTGGGAGAGGAGGCAGAAGGGCAGACGATGAGAGGAGAAGGGCGAGACAGGAGCAGGGGAGGGGATAGAGATGGGGGGAGAAGGTAGAGACGGTGAGGCACAGGGATGCAACCACCGTGCTACCATACAGAACGCTGAAAAAGTAACGATGGGGCGTTCCTGGCCACGGCGACGTTCGGCAGGTGATAGGTTTCCCGATCTAGATCTAAGAAACGGCCCGAAAACCATAGCCCATCCTGAGCCCGAAGTGGTCCTCACTCCAGCGTCTTGACTGTAAAGAGAAGGGGGAGAGCCGAGGTGAACGAAAGTCGCCTTATGATGAATTCGCAGACATCGAAGTCGCCCAAGTGCAGCATCTTCAAGATGAAATCGGCCACGTGGACGGGCGACACATCCTCGAAAGCGAGGATAGGTGAACTAAACATGGCATAAACATAATGGTACCAGAGACCAAAAAAACCCTGTGACGTGCCCAACCCATGTGCATCAAGTGGCAAGAGGAGTAGGCCAACATTAGCAGGAACAGCGACAGTGTTGACGCGGTGAATTGCTGCGCAAACTACATGGGATGCGTATGCGTTGGACGACTCACAGGACGACGATCGAAAGAACGAGGATTGGGGCCCCAGGCTCGAAGAATAACGGGGACAGGAACGAGGGGCAGGAGAAGGATGGAATGGGGGGTAACCCCAATCTGCGTATGACGTCACTCCGCTGGGCCTCCCAGCGGCCCTCGAAAGTGGCGAAACGCTCGCAGATCGCAGCCCCCCAGGGATGGCGAGGTCGAATCTGAATCTGCGTATGACGTTACCCCGCTGGGCGTCCCAGCGGCCCCCGAAAGTGGTGGCGGTTTCGCAGATCGCAGCCCCCCAGGATCGATGGCGAGGTCTCATCTGAATCTGCGTATGACCCTACCCCGCTGGCCCCCCCGGCAACCCTTGAAAGTGGCGACAATTTCGCAGATCGCAGCCCCTCAGAAATGGCGAGGTCGAATCGGAATCTGCGTATGACGTTTCTCCGCTGCCCCCCCCCCCAACAGCCCTCGAAAGAGGCGACAGTTTTGAAGATCGCAGCCCCCCCAGGGATGGCGAGGTCGAATCCAAATCTGCGTATGACTCACCCAGCTGGGCCCCCCAGCAATCCTCGAAAGTGGTGACAGTCTCGCAGATCGCAGCCGCCCAGGGATGGCGAGGTCGAATCGGAATCTGCGTATGACCCCACTCCTCTGCCCCCAGCCCTCGACCGTGGTGACAATTTCGCAGATCGCAACCCCCCAGGATGGCGAGGTCGAATCTGAATCCGCGCATGACCCCACTCCGCTGGGCACCCCCAGCGGCCCTCGAAAGTGGCGACAACTTCGCAAAACGCACCCCCCAGGGATGGCGAGGTCTAATCTGAATCTGCGTATGACGTCACCCCGCTGGGCCCCCCAGCAGCCCCCGAAAATGGTGGCGGTCTCGCAGATCGCAGCCCCCCAGGGATGGCGAGGTCGAATACGAATCTGCGTATGACCCCACTCCGCTGGGCCCCCCAGCAGCCCTCGAAAGTGGCAACAATTTCGCAGATCGCAGCCTTCCAAGGATGGCGAGGTCCGATCTGAATCTGCGTATGACGTCACTCCGCTGCCCCCCCCCCCCCCAGCAGCCCTCGAATGTGGCGACAGTTTCGCAGATCGCAGCCCCCCAAAGATGGCGAGGTCCTGTTTGAATTTGCGTATGACCCCACTCCGCTGGGCCCCCCAGCAGCCCTCGAAAGTGGCGACAGTTTCGCAAATCGCTGCCCCCCAGGAATGGTAAGGTAGGAGACAAACTAGCACGCAGGAGCGAGCGAGGTAGGAAGCAGGGGGGGAGAGAGGAAAGGAGGATGGGGGCGCGGCAGAGGAGAGGAGGCGCGACCCAGGCTGCTCTATTCAAAACGAGAACCCAACGCAGGAGGGTCGGGGAAAAAACCTAACCTTTTGGAGGTTAGGGGACTACGAGGCTATAGGGCTGCAACGCTATAGGGTTATAAAGCTATGGGGCTATAGGGCCATAGGGTCCCAGGGCCTACGGGGCTACAGGGCGATGGGCGTGGAAACAAGTTAACGACCGAAGAGTCGAACCAACTGTGTTTCCCATAGGTAGAGGAAGGCAAGGGAGAAGGTCGCGAATCAGTTTCTCCCATGCGCCGCGGACGGGCGGCGCGGCGCCGAAAACCAAAACCTCAGCCGAGACGTCGGCGGTAGATCAGGACACAGCGGTGATATGAGCAGACTTCACAGACACACACACACACACACACACACACACACGCACGCACGCACGCACGCACGCACGCACGCACGCACACACACACACACACACACACACACACACACACACGCACGCACACACACACACACACACACACACACAACACACACACACACACTCACACACACACACACACACACACACACACACACACACACACACACACACACACACACACACCGTCCCGAATCCCGCCCGCTCCACGCGGGCCTCGGGCCCGCGGGAAACGAAGGCCGGGCTCTGGAACACAGGTGCGAGGCCCACTCTATACACCGTCATGTCCACCGCACCTCCAAACGAGGCCGTCTCGGCTAGGAAGGAGAGGAAGGGGGGTCAACCCCGCCGCGCAGGGCACTTAGGGGAGCCTACCCGCCTTTAGCGGGCCCGTGGTGCGCCCCCCAAAACGCCTCTGCACTCCTGGACGACTCCCCGCCACCACGGGCGACGGGGCTGGGAGAGCAAGGGAAAGAAAAACAAACGAAAAAAAAAACAACGCCCCGTCGGCAGCACGAACGCGGGCGCCCAACCGGCGCGCAAATATTCGTGCGCAAAGCAACTGCAAGATAATAGAAGCGTCACTCACTGGGCTCTCCAGGCCCGAATTCAAATCGGCAATAACATCGGAGTTGTTACGACGACTGATCCAAAAAATTGCACGCGATCAAAACTGCTGCGAGAATTGATCAAATTAGGAAAGGAACAACGCATGACGAGATGGACTACTGTTTTCGTCGCCAAGCCAAATCGCTTGATCCAACATGGCCACGGAGGACTGGCATATCCAACCAGCCCTCCCGGCGGCCGGCACCTCTCGCGCGCCCGGCAGCCGCTCGCTCCGGTAGTCCCCCCTACCCGAAGCCTCGCACACAGAATGGTTGGCCGGGGAGGCAGCCCCCGCGCCGACTGGGCTCGCCAGGCCGACTGGATCTCAATACGGTAGCGGAGCATGGCGATCCACGGAAAACCCGCTCAAACTGCGGACCCCAGCGCCGCCCCCAGGGCCAGCCGGCTCGACCCCGTCATCTTGGCGAAACCCAGGCCGGCGAGAAACTGGGCGATCAGCGTCGCCTCCACGTGCGTGGTGCCCAGGTCCGCGCTGTCGCCCGCGCCCGGCACCTTCTTGACCTTCACGAGGCCACGCTGCACAGCCCTCTGAATCCAGAGGAAGGGCGCGCGCAGGTGGCGAATGCGTCCTACGCCGCGACGCTCCGCGATCCCTTTGCCCGCGGCGGCGTCGCAGCACAGCTCCACGTCTATGCTGCCGTAGCCGCAGTCCTCCAGCAAGACGCGGAAGCCGAGCCCCGCCGAAGCCCCCTTGACCAGGGCGTGGGACTCGGCCTCGCCAGTCGAGAGGCTCTGCACCTGCTGGGTCGCGCCCGCCGAACACGACGAAGTCGTCGCCGTGGCGCCACGCCACCAGCGACCCCAGCCTGTAGACGCACGGACTGAACTGCCCCTGCCGCGCCTCAAGCTCCCCCATGACCTTCTCCAACTTCAGGCCGAGCGTCCGGCAGCCCGCGCATGGCCTTCAGCAGGAACCAGCTCATGTCCCCCCCGCACTTCTCGTCCTCTGCTGGCGCCTCCAGGTAGATACGCTGCAAGAGCTCAGAGCGCAGGTGGGCCCTGGATATGTCCAGGAACATGAGGATCTTGCCCACCGAGGCTCGGCACGACATGACCAGGGAGAGCAGCAGCCGCAGCCCCTCGAGCGGCGGCGCGGCCGCGAAGATCTGCGCTGCGCCCTCTGGGCCCAGCGCGCTGAGCCTCCGCGTCTCCTTCGCGACGAGCCTGCTGCGGATCTCTGGCCTGCGCCCGTCGCCCTTGATCGCGTCGACCCAGCCGTTGGGCAGCGGCCGAGTCCCTGTGCTCTCATGGCATTCGCTCGTCGGCGCCCGCCGGAAGACGCCTAGCCTCTCCATGTAGGCCATCTCTTCAGCGCGCGCCGCGCGCACCATATTCGGGTCCAGCCGCGCGCCCGAGATGCCATCGAAGAACTCCTCGATCTCCTCGGGCGTCGCCGCCTCGATGGCCCCCGGCTCCTCGATTGTCGAGCCGACCTCGAACGCGTGGAGCCCGCGCCCGATCTCCAGCTGCTCACGCATGCCGGCCAGGATGGCTTTGACCAGCGGGATCGGGCACCGCTCGGCCGCCTTGCACCTGCCCGCGACCAGGTGCACGTGCTGGTGGTCCTTGGCGCACAGGACCCCCACGCGCTTCGCGATGACCGGGCTGTTCGTCATCCAGCCCGTCGCCTTCGCCACTGGCCCGACGACCCCGTCTGGCCCCTTCGAGGTCTGCCCGAAGCCACACTGGTGGCCCTTCACCACCATGACGCCCTCCAGCAGCCGCACCTTCTCGACGATCTTGAAGAGTCAGCTCCAGGCCGTCCACGGGTGCTCGTACAAGAAAGATCGGCCCTCGCGCTGCCGGAGTGCGCAGATCTACATCACGAACTCGAGGTAGACGACGCAGCGCTTCAGCAGCGCCTGACACCGCTCCTCGTCACGCACCCTCTCGCCCTTCTTCACAATCAACGAGAACGGCGTGCACGCGGGGCTCGCCACCACGAACATGGGCTTGCTCTCCGTGATCTCCTGCTTCGCCAGCTCGCGCTGGCTCTCGTCGACAACGTCTCGGCCGGTCCGCAAGTCCATGGGGTTCCCGACTTCAGGTCGAAGCACGGCACCAGCCTGCAGAACTCGCCCGGGTTGAACACCTCCGCGATGTCGCCTTCAAAAGCGCCCAGATGCATCAGCAAGGTGCCTATCTGCCTGGCGTCCGCGATCGTCAGCTGGCCCACCTCCATGCTCTGTGGGGCCGCTGCCGCCGCGGCGCCGCCCGACCCAGAGACAGGGCTCGGGGTGGACTCCGCACCAAGGCCTGGCCTGGGGAGGGAGCTCCGGGTGGACCCGGAGCCGGCTGCGCTGGCTCCTGGCGGCGGGCTACCTCTTGCCCTCTTGGCCTCGGGAGCCACCTGCTCCTCCGCCAAGGGGAGGGCCCTCCTGGCCCTCGCACCCTCGACTCGCTGGCTCAGATCAATGTCCGATGCCATTGCCTACTCAATGCGCCCCCGGCACTCCTCCGAGTGCGCCGCAGCGCGCCGACCGAGGGCCGCCGACATGTAGCCGCAGCATCCCTGTGTAGCCGTACCTCTGCAGCTCGACGTCGCGCCTCAAGTAGACGCGCCTCGGCGCTCCTGGCGTCGTCGGCGCCGGCGCCTCCGGCAGCTGCGCGTCGGGCACCACCTGGACCGCCACGATCTTCACGTGCGCCGGCGGTGCTGCCAGGCCGGCGCCCCCGTCGGGAGCGCGACTGTCCTCGGTGGCACTCCGCGCATCTCGGCCAGCAGCGCCTTATCCGACCTGCCAGGCCCCGAAAGGCGCCTAACGCTGCGGGCCCGGAGGGCCCCGTTTGACGCGCCGGTGCACAACTCGTCGGCGCCCTCCACGACCACAAGGAAGATGCCCTCAAGCAACCTGTCCACCAGCCGCGACGCCCTCTTGCCCGCAGGGAAGTAGAAGACCTTCTCCGAGAAGGCCGGCAGTGGCTTCTTGAACGCCCTGCGGGGGAATAACCAATCCGTGTCCCCAATCCGTAGGCGTATGAGGACACCACGCAGCTCCGCAGCTCGCACGGCGCCCTGCCGTCGGCTGCCCGCTGGCCTCGGATCCAAACCGAGCCAGCGTGCCGCACCAGCCAGAGCAGGACGGGATGACTCCGCCCGAACACCGCCCCGTGCAGCCCCTCCGCCGCGCGCCGCAGCGTGCGCACGAGACCTTTCATGTTTCGCACCGCTCCTTCTGCGAGCCCATTGCGTTGGGACTCGCCAACGGCCGACTCCTGCCGTGACCGTGACGACCTTCTCCTTGAGCTGCACCACTGCAGCGGCCTTCAGGGCCAGGATGGGCTTCTCCCGGTCCGACTTGAAGTGCATCCTCGAGCGGCCCATCTGCGCGCAGAGCCGCGCCAGCGTTTCCACGTTGACGGGGTGCGTCAGCCCTTTAGCTCGGCAGCACCTCGCTCGAAGTCCATCGAGTCGCCGAGCCTCGCACCACCAGGGTCGGCGAAGAGCCGCCCTCGCGTCCTCGCCGTCCTCGCTGCCGCCCAGGAACGCGTAGTCCATCGCGACTAAGGGCGATCCGTCCTCCGCGTGGTCGCTCTGCTTACGTGGAGCCGCGCGTCCGCGGCCCGCCGCGCAGCGACGGCGCCACGCCCCGAAGGGGACGTGGCTCACCTCGTGATCCATCTTCTCCTGCTCCGTGGCCCCCACGGTCTCCTCGCGGCCCTGATCACCGGGGCCTCCGTCTCGCTCTCGCCGCCCGCGCCCGGTTGCGGCGGGGGAGGCGGCTCCAAGCGGAGATCCCCGAAGCCAGGAGGGAGCTCATCGTCTCCACCTCCACGCACCGGGCAGATCTCACTGCCCTCTGCGAGGGCCGGGCTCACGGCGGCCAGGTCTGCCGGGTGAAACCCGACGGCCCCTGGCCCAGCACCTCGCGCGCCTTCGCGCGCGGGCGCGCGCCCAGCTGCATCTCGCACACGTTGGTGCGCTGCGCGAAATTGATCCTGCCCTGTGCTCTCGTTCCTCGCGAAGCTCCGCTCGCGGCCGAAGACGATCGCGCGCCCTGCATCGACCATTTCCGAGACTGAGGCCAGCCCCTTTATCACTGGGGCCACCCTCGCCTTGATGCACTCGATCACGCGCGCGCCGCCCGCGGCGGCGATCTCGCCCACGAGCTCGCGCGTGTCGCAGTCGGGGGCCCAGCCGCCGTCAGCCGCGAGGTAGCCTTCGCCCTTCCTGCCCATCTCGTTCTCCATCACCGGGTAGTCCGTGAAGCTCTGCTTGGGCATCACCGTCGTCGCCGCGCCGGAGTCGACGCCCATCACGAGCTTCCGAGGACCGCGCGCGACCGCTCCCAGCTCCAGCAGCTTGCCGAAGAGCTCCTCGCTCGCGGTCCCGTTGTCCTGCAGCAGGTCGCAGGCCTCCTGCACCGCGTCGCCCTCGTTCAAAGCGTTGAGGAAGAGCCCGCGGATGGCCTTCTCAGGCCCCGGCCCACGGCCCCCCTCGACAGCGGCGACCTCGCGCTGCTTGCAGTGATTGGCGATGTGGCCCGGCTGGTTGCACTCGCAACACTTGCGCTGCTCCGAGCCGCGCCCAGCGCCAGCGCCAGCGCCGGAACCTCCCCCACTGCGGCGACCTCCTACGCCGCCCTTGCCGTCGTTTCCCTTGCCCTTGCCGCCGCCGCCGCCGCCGACACCCCTGCCCTTGTCTGCGAACAAGCAGTCCTTCTTGGCGCGCCCCTGGCGGCCGCAGCTGCGGCACGGGCCGACCGGGTTCGGGGGCGGAGGGTAGCTGTGGCCATCTCCCTTCTTGCCACCCTTGCCTCCCCACTTGCCCCCGAAGGCGCCGAGCTCCATCGGCATCGATCCTCTGGGAGTCGCCGCCGCCGCTGCTGCCTGGGCGCGGCGCGCGCTCACGATCTCCTCGCGGAACTGCACCCACTGCTCGAGCCTCTCCGCGTTCATAATCATGTGCTGCTTCAGCGAGCTCTCGGGCAACCTCTGCAGCACGATCCCGATCCTGATGGCGCTGCTTAGCTGCTCGCCCGCCTGGACCTCGTAGAGCGAGATCTCGCGCTCGAAGGCCTCCAGAATCGCGAGGAGCTCTCCGCTGAAGTCCCAGCTGGGCAGCTGCACCAAGAGGTTCGCAGCGGCGGTTCAGCTGCCGCCACGCCCCCAGGCCCTCCAGCGCGCCCGAGTTCAGCACCACGTCGAGCGCCTGGGCCCTGCACGTCTGCACCAGCCAGCAATGCAACTGGCGGCTGATCTCCACGTCGGCCTCCTCCAGGGTCGCGTTGAGCATGGGGGCAGCCGCCTTCGCCGCTCGCTGGAGCGCCTCTGCCATGCGAGGGTTGACCGCCCCCGCATACGCCCCGAAGACCACCTCCCGCATGTCCTGCTGCATCCATCGATGTCTGCGGACCCGAGGTCGGAACGATGACTCCAGATGTTTCTGCATCCGGTGGTTCGCGGCATTCCAAAGCAGATTGGTACCAGTCCACAATAAACCGTTGTAAGTCGTTGTTCCGCATACGAACAGATTGTAGACGCTCAAATTCACGCAGCGCGTCGTCGACGTCAGTGACCTCGTAGGATTTCAGCATCGTCAAATATCTATATATGTCTACCCTTCAACACGCGGCTGGCTCGATGCCCATGAGACGCGAGGCTATTCATTCGGCGCCGGAGATCAGCAGCAGGAACGGCCGAGAGTTCAGCGGCAAGCTTGCAATCTATACTTTCGAAGTCGCCACTGTCCTGGAGGTCCCCAAAAGTGGCAACAGGTTATTCGGCAACACGAAAGAATTCACGTGCCCTGGCAGGTCGGCTGGAGACTCTGCCAAAAATTGCCTCTGACCATACACTGCCACTCCTGTAGCTGAGCAATACGTGTTGAGGAAAATGCACAACGTCAGATTCCTTGATGCGGGTGGTACCACCGAGAGAGAACTGCGATAGGTTCTGCGATGGAACCGGTGGAGTTGGCAATGGTGCACGCGCGGGGGGGGCTCGACGCGCCTGAGTTGAGGCCGCTGCAAAGGCGGCGCCTGGTGATGCACGCCTCGTCCGTCCAGCGCGGATGCTTCCATCAGCGAGGGTTGGGGCAGTCGCAATGAAGTCCTGGAAATGAGGTCGGATTGTGGATATGAGCGTCGCTCACGTGAGCCATTGTGGTGGCTTCAGTTGTTGCGATGTCAATATGCATCTTCTCAACACTCTGTCGTAGACCACACATCTCGTCGTTGGTGTCGTGAACTTGCTGGGGGCACCGGCCCAGCCGATGCTCTGAGTCTTGGGTTCGTCGGCTGTGAGCTTCGCGCTCTCGTTCCAAACTGGCGAGTACATCCTCCACCCGTGCCATTTCAGCGTCTCTTACGTGGGAGATCTGGGCGAGTCGCATCTGCGCGCGGCCTGCCACCTCCGATACCTCGCCCAGTCGGGCTTCGAGGGTGGCGAATTCGCAACACGGACACGGGGTGTCCAGCTGATCTGTCTGGACCCGTCCAACGCGCAACTCAGCCAGCGCAGCCTGCATTTCAGGTAGCTGCTGCTCGACCGCGGAAGCCCTGTTCTCAAGCGTTGGCACACGCCCCATCCGAAGCGTCAAGACGTTGAGCGACAGCCATCTCAGCACTGCGCAGCCTGCCGCGCAACTCGGACGTGAGCGCGGTACATTGGGAGTGTCGGGAGGCAGTAGTCACTTCAACCTGGGTACGAAACGCACTGAAGTCCTCTCGGAGCGATCCGTACCTCCATGGCTGGCACCTGCCGCACTATCAGGAGCTCATCGCGCACTGTCCTGACACTGGCAGCGCCCGCGTCCCTGACGCCCACGAGTTGGGCTTCCACTTCGAGGAGGTAGTCGTGGAGCGTCTGAATTGCAATGGAGTCGGGAACTCGGCGTGACTCCACGCGGCCAGCTTGACACTGACCCTGGGCGAGGATCGATCGACACTCAGCGATCCGAGCGTCGACGAGGGCGAGGTACGAGACCTATGTTGCTTCACATCAGCAATTTGGCCCCTGCTGACTTTTTTCAAAATAATATATTGGGATGA